TTTCCAAATTGGGGGATCAGAAGAAGATGCTCTAATCAAAATATAAGTAAGTCGAATAGACTTAGAGGCACAAACGGTGGCAATTCGATTGGTCGACAACCAGCTCATGTTCAAAATGACGTCTGAGCCGGAAAGATATTTTAGAAGGGTTGATAGATGATTGTGTGCATTCGCACACATGTTGAATCAAAAGGATCAAAATGACGGTGTCAAAAGATACTAGTGAATATTGCTAGTGATATGGGAGCATCCATAATATAAGCATACAAGTATTTGCAGAGCAATAGTTTGAAGAGGATGCTCTGAAGGTCGGATAGTATTTCAGAGTATCTTATGAAGCATACGAACAACTGGGGATGAACAGATACTCAATAAGTGCGAGGAATTTTCAATAGCGGTATTCATGTGGTAAAGAACTGCAAGGCAGTAAGCTTAAAGGATTTTCGGAACAACGGAGAGCAATTTAGGGCATCTTGTACTAACAAGAGCAACTGAGGATGAAGGTATGAACGATAATTGTAGGTAGTTATCCATAAGGGTATATCGGTGGTAGGGGATTGTAAAGTCGGTGGCCACAAGGGTCTCCGGAAAACCTCGGAGTATCTTCGGAATCTTCGGGTGCAGCAAGCGATCATTTGGAGTGAGAGACTCTCCGGGAGAAAGTCTTTCGAGAACCTAAAGTTAGTCTTTTTAGCAAAATAATTTAACCCGAATAGGGGAGAGATTTGAGTCCCAGAGTAAAGATCGAGGAGTAAAAGATCCTAGTACCACCCAATGGCGACGTGGGCCCATAAGGCACACAGCCATGTTAGTAAAGTTTTGTAATGTCTAGACTCAACTTCGGCCAAGGAGTTGGGAAGGGGGATTCCTACAGGCAGTCGGCTCTGATACCAACTTGTGACGCCCCCGATTCAATCGTACACTAATCATGCACGCAAATGTGTACGATCAAGATCAGGGACTCACGGGAAGATATCACAACACAACTCTAAAACATAAATAAGTCATACAAGCACCATAATACAAGCCAGGGGCCTCGAGGGCTCGAATACAAGTGCTCGATCATAGACGAGTCAGTGGAAGCAACAATATCTGAGTACGGACATAAGTTAAACAAGTTGCCATAAGATGGCTAGCACAAACTGGGATACAGATCGAAAGAGGCGCAGGCCTCCTGCCTGGGATCCTCCTAACTACTCCTGGTCGTCGTCAGCGGGCTGCATGTAGTAGTAGGAACCTCCAGTGTAGTAGTCGTCGTCGACGGTGGCATCTGGCTCCTGGGCTCCAACATCTGGTCGCAGCAATCGGATAGAGATAGGGGAAAAAAGGGGGAACAAGGCAACCGTGAGTACTCATCCAAAGTACTCGCAAGCAAGGAGCTACACTACATATGCATGGATATATGTGTAAAGGGACATATCGGTGGACTGAACTGCAGAATGCCAAAATAAGAGGGGGATAGCTAATCCTGTCGAAGACTACGCTTCTGGCAGCCTCCGTCTTGCAGCATGTAGAAGAGAGTAGACTGAAGTCCTCCAAGTAGCATCGCATAGCATAATCCTACCCGGCGATCCCCTCCTCATTGCCCTGTTAGAGAGTGATCACCGGGTTATATCTGGCACTTGGAAGGGTGTGTTTTATTAAGTATCCGGTTCTAGTTGTCATAAGGTCAAGGTACAACTCCAAGTCGTCGTGTTACCGAAGATCACGGCTATTCGAATAGATTAACTTCCCTACAGGGGTGCACCACATAACCCAACACGCCTGATCCCATTTGGCCGGACACACTTTCCTGGGTCATGCCTGGCCGCGGAAGATCAACACGTCGCAGCCCCACCTAGGCACAACAGAGAGGTCAGCACGCCGTCTAAACCTAAGCGCACAGGGGTCTGGGCCCATCGCCCTTAGCACACCTGCATGTTGCGTGGGCGGCCGGAAGCAGACCTAGCCTAGCAGGCATTCCAGTCCAATCCGGCGCGCGCCACTAAGTCACTGACGTCACGAAGTGCTTCGGTTGATACCACGACGTCGAGTACCCATAACTGTTCCCGCGTAGTTGGTTAGTGCGTATAGACCAAATGGCCAGACTCAGATCAAATACCAAGATCTCGTTAAGCATGTTAAGTATCCGCGAACGCCGACCAGGGCCAGGCCCACCTCTCTCCTAGGTGGTCTCAACCTGCCCTATCGCTCCGCCACAAAGTAACAGTCGGGGGCCGTCGGGAACCCATGCCCACCTCTACCGGGATGGAGCCACCTGTCCTTTCAGCCCCCATCTTCGAACAGTATCACAGGTAATGTAACAGTGTAAAGTATATAGTATATGCCCGTGATCACCTCCCGAAGTGATCATGGCCCAGTAGTATAGCATGGCAGACGGACAAGAGTGTAGGGCCACTGATGGAACACTAGCATCCTATACTAAGCAATAGGATAGCAGGTAAAGGTAACAACAATAGTAGCAAGGACAGGCTATGCAGCAGTATAGGATTAACTGAAAGCAGTAACATGCTACACTACTCTAATGCAAGCAGTATAGAGAAGAATAGGCGATATCTGGTGATCAAAGGGGGGGCTTGCCTGGTTGCTCTGGCAAGAGAGAGGGGTCGTCAACACCGTAGTCGTACTGGGTAGCAGCGGCGTCGGTCTCGGTGTCTAGCGGAAGAAGAGGGGGAAGAAACAATAAATACATGGCAAGAAATTGCATAACAGGACAACAAGCAGAGTTAGATTTGTTCTAACGCGCTATGAGGTGATACCGGTGAAGGGGGGAAACATCCGGGAAAGCATCCCCAGTGTTCCGTGTTTTCGAGCAGATGAACCGGAGGTGAAATGTTGCAGGTTCACTATGCTAGGGACGAGGGGCGGATGAACGGGCTGCATATCCGGATTCGTCTCGTCGTTCTGAGCAACTTTCATGTAGAAAACATTTTCATCTGAGCTACGGTTTATTTTATATGATTTTCTAAAGTTTACATCATTTTTGGAATTTAATTAATTAATGTAATTCAACATTATCCAGAATAGTGTATGTTGATGTCATCATGATGTCAGCATAACGTCAGCAGTCAACAGGGCGTCGGCTGGGGTCAAACTGGCGTGAGGGTCCCACATGTCATTGACTGATTAATTAACTAACAGTTAATTAGGTTAATTAGTGATTAGATTAGTCTAATTATGATTAATTAAGGTAATTAATTCTTTAATTAATTAATAATTAATATTTTTATTATTGTTATAATTATAATTATTTTTTAAATTCTTTTTTTTTTATAAAAACGTTCTGGGCAGGGCCTCGTTTGTCATTGGGCAAGAGGGAGGTTGCGGGCGCCGGGCAAACGGGCACGGGGCGCTGCGGGTTTGGCCCGAGCGGGCGCACGCCCAGGGGCGGGCGTACCTAGTCGGGCGCCGGAGCAGGGGAGGCCAGGAGGAGGCCAAGGCCAGGCACGGGTGGGGCGTCGTGGCGCGGCGAGTGCGGGCGAGGGTGGCAGAGGCCACGGCGGGCGGGCGAAGCGTGGCGGTGGCACGCGCACGTGATCGAGCGGGCCTGGCCGGGACCGGGACCGCGGTGGCCGCGAGCACGGCGCGGGTGATGCGCCGGCGTGGAGCTGCGGGAGAGAGGGCACGAGTGGCGGAGTGACCGCGCATCGGACGCGCCCGGAGCGCGTCAACCGCCGGCGAGATCGGCGGGGACTGCGGCGACTACGGGAGGGAGAAGAAGGGAGCGAGGCGGGGCTCACTGGGGCCGTAGGGGGAATGGCAGCGGGCTCGACGGAGGTCGGGGAGGTCCGACGAGGAGGGGGTCGAGGTGGCGTTCCGGCGACGGTGGGGTCGAGGCAGAGGAGCTCCGGTGAGGTTGCCCCGACGAACGGTGACGGCGGGGAGGTCCTCCAAGCGGTAGCGATGCG